TCCTGGACATTAGCTGGCACCTGGTCTGCCAGCATCACAGACTCCATTAGGGCAGGGCTGGGTCCCTCCTGTGTCTGCAAGAAGGCACTCTACTACCTACGCCCCGACTCTTGCTGCCTTGCCTCAGGGGGGTGGGGGAGAAGGGATGTGGCAGAAGGGAATGGGTGTTCTGCCTGGGTCCTGCTGAGCGGCTCCTGCCAGCATGCTGGCTGTACCTTGGCTAAGGCCTCACAAGCCTTTTCTGTCCCCCCACCAGAAGCTGGAATTGGAGGGGGGTGCGGCCGGACACAAAAAGCAGTGTGCTCCTGCAGCAGCCACAATACAGCTGTAGCCTCTCCTCCCACACGCAGGGTGAGGGACCAATGCAAAAGACCCAGCGCAGGGCTCCATAGGGACACAGGCTCCCCTGAGCCACTGTAGAGGCATCATGTGACCTCCAGCTTCTACCCCTGCCCCCCTGGGTGGGTGGGGGGAGCAATTTCCCTAGAGCTGGCTCCAGCAGGACAACCCAGGAACACAGAACCAATATCACCTGACCCACCTCTTCCTCCCCTTTGAGCTGTGGGAATGGGAGGGCATGGCAATAAAAATGTCAGTGTGTGCTAACAAAATTTGCAGATGACAAAGTTGGGAGGTATTGCCAACAGGAAGGAGGAATAGAAGATTTGAACAATTTGAAAACTGGAGTAAAGGAAATGAGATGAAATTTAGGAGTGCAAGTCATGCACTTAGGGACTAACCAAAAGAATTTTTGCTTTAAACTGGGAATGTATCAGTTGGAAGTGACTGTCAGAGAAAGACCTGGGTGTATTGGTCAACACAAGGTGACTATGAGCTGCCAACGTGATGAGTCTGTGAAAAAGGCAAATGCAGTCCTACAATGCATCAGGTGAGGTATTGCCAGTAGCGACAAGGAAGTGTTATCACCATTATATAAGGCAGTGGTGAGACCTCATCTGGAATACTGTGTGTGCAATTCTGGTCTCCCATGTTTAAGAAAGATTAATTCAGACTGGAACAGGTGCAGAGACAGGCTACTAGAATGATCAGATGAATCATTCCTTACACGAGGATCCCTTTGTTTAGCCCTGTGACCTCATTCCCATTCCTGTTATCTCATTGGTTGTCCCCTGCAATTATTTGGTATCTTGGACCTGTGGATCCTCCCCTTAGGCTGTGGGGAGGTCCTTTAGCAGTGGGCGGATGGAGCTTCCTGGATACCAACAGGACGAGGAGACTTAAGGAGCTTGACATGTTTAGTCTAACATAACTAAGGCTGAGGGGAGATATGATTGCTCTCTGTAAATACATCAGAGTAATAAACACTAGAGAAAGAGAGAGGAGTTATTTTAGTTAAGAAGAAATGCTGGCACAAGATCAAATGGATATAAATTGGCCTTCAATAAGTTCAGGCGTGAAATTAGAAGAAGGTTTCTAACCATCAGAGGAGCGAAGTTTTGGAACAGCTTTCCAAGAGGAGCAGTGGGGGGGGGGGAACCTAACTTGTTTCAAGACTGAGCTTGATAAGTTTATGGAGGGGATGATAAGATGAGAATGCCTACCATGGCATATGGCCCATCTGCAACTATTAGCTAATTAGCCAACAGCTGGAGATGGGACACCAGAGGGGGAGGGCTCTGAGTTACTACAGACAGTTCTTTCCCAGCTGGTCTCGTGAAATGCCCAGGGTCTAACTGATCACCATATTTGGGGTCCGGAAGGAATTTTCCCAAGGTCAGATTGGCAGAAATCATGGGAGGGAGAGTGGAGTTCACTTTCTTCTGTAGCCTGGGGCACAGGTCACTTGCTGCTTTGAACTACAGTGAATAGTGCATTCTCTGTAAAGTGAATTCTTTACATCAAGATTTGAGGACATAAGTAACTTAGCTTCAGGTTATGGGCATATTAGGTGAGTGGGTGGGTGAGGTTTTATGGGCTGTGCTATACCGGAGGTCAGATTAGATGATCACAATGTTCCTTCTGGCCTTAAAGTCTAAAAGCCTGTTGTTTACTGTTTTTTCATTAAATTACTTACAATACAATAATTGGAACTGAACGCAATCTATTCAAACCTTAGCACAATTTAAAATGAATAAGGCCATGTGATTTTGCATATATATACTAGAACTGCTCAGAAAAATTTTGATGAACACAAAACAAAAAATTGACAGAAAATGCTGAGATTTTTCAACCCAAATCCAAAACCTTTCAGTTGAAATTTAAAAGCTTTTGGTTGAAATCCAAAAATGTCTATTTGGAAATGCCATTGTGATGCTTCATGGGAGTTGTAGTTCAGGCACAAAACATCTTGACCAGTCTCTCCACCTTCCATATAAATTACTGTGAATAGCGATCCCAGTCAACTCATCTCATGTATAAATTAGTGTCATAGTATCCTTGCCTACTGATACACGGCAAGAGGGGGGGGGGAAAGGGGGCTTTCCTGGTGGTTAATGTCACAGGCATTTAACCTTCCTGTAGACCTCTAATGCAAGGCTATCAACACTCACATGCAGTGGAAGATTTAGAGCTTGTGAAATGGACATTTAAAAGTATAATAATCCATGGCTGAAATAAAAACAGGGGTTATATTTATCTCTCATTACTAATAATTGCAGTATTGCTTCACTTATCACTGTATGGAACAAAAATTTATGCTCAATAAAAGTTCATAAAAAGCAGAACTTACTATATATTCTGATACTTGAGTAAAAAACTAAATAAATGTAAAGCCTGGGTATGCAGTAAACGTATTCATCAACCCTATTTTACATTAACAAATCAAGTAATGACTACATTTTGCTGTCTGATACACAGCAGGTTTGCTCGTTTTCTTGTATTACCCCTCAAACCAAAGTGCCTTTTAGAAAGGTTTCTCCCTTCTTTAGCAACATAGGGTTTAATCCTTAATTGTACACTTGAAAACTGCAATTGCTGAGCATAGCGCTGAAATTCCTCTGTTAATAGAACCACGTGAGATGCAAACCATACCAACATCAAAAATTATGGTAACCAGTTCTCACCCCTTTAATTAACAGAATCTTTAGCTCTATGTTCAATACTGCATTTGTACCTCAGCACTAGGGTAACAACTGAAGCTGTTGGCTTCACAACTTACAAAGTACATTGCATGTATCCACAAATTATTTAACTGTTTGTTGATATTAGGCCGTTCCTGCTGCCAGTGAAACAAATGGTTATTCACAGCAGTCAGTTGTTTTCCATTAACTTCACTGGGGGGGCAGGATCTACCCCCCACAACTACAGATGGAGAACAAATTAAATTTAAGAACTAGTGATTTGTGAGATTTGACATAAGAAGTGAAACTCTCGAAGTTTTTCTGTATTTGCTTAATTAAATTTTTAAAAAACAGCAGGCCTGCTTTTTCTCTCATTTTTACCAGCTTTCTACCCGTGTGTCTCCACTGACCTCAGTGGAGTTACTCCAGATTTATATTAAGGCTTGGAAGGATTAGATTTTTATCGGTAAATGTCCAATGCACCGTACACATACAGACCAATGACAAAATATTTCCATTGATAACAGATATTTACAGCTAGGCTAAGTGAGAATTGTGAATGTATTAGAGTTTAAGGATATTTTCTTTGTATGATTTGAAACCTGATGTTGACAATTTGTGTTTCAATGGTTATAAAGCTTTAACTTTTTGAATCTGTCATGAAATAATTATTGTTTGACGCCCCCCATAACTTCCTGCAACTGAAAATTTAAATAGATAAAAATTGAAAAATGCTTAAAAATAAGTGATATTCTGTCAAAATTATAAAAAAAAAAATTGAATTCTGCCAAGCCTGTTTATACTGGTTTGAGAGGAGAATTAGGTTGAACAACTTTTAACAGCTCTTGTGTATTACCTGCTCTTACTGAGTATGAAATTTTAATGAAGGTCATTTACAAAAGATCAATATATAGAACTACATCAGACATGACTTTTATGCTCCCTGCTAATGCTGAAAATTACAGAAGTAGTTGGTTTTGAGGCTCTCACAAGCTGATGATTGGATGGATAGTGCTTCCCCGATAGAAAAATACTTTCAGTTCACCTAAAATATATTCTGTCTCCTGAATAAAGTTACTTCATGGCTCAAATTGTAGGAAAGTATGAAAAGTGCAGTTGTTCATCTAGTAATATTAGTCACATCTTATTCGAACAATCTTCATTTGGTAGAATGATGATATCTCATGAAAGCATGTGTGAAATTCCACCTAGAAGTTCTGATGGTCCAGGTTTCTGTGATAATACTGTTGTAGGGGCCCTGGGAGCCTTTGTGGGAAAGTTTTTATGTTGGGAGGTGGGGAGGGTGGGAGACTTGTTTACCTGTGAGGACATTTGATCTGAACAACTGGGAGATCCCCCAATTGCCTTCAAACTTTACCTGCAATTTATAGTGATTAGCTCATAGCTGTAAAGTGGAACTTAAGAACAGCCATAATGGGTCAGACCAAAGGTCCATCTAGCCCAGGATCCTGTCTTCTGACAGTGGCCAACACCAGGTGCTTCAGAGGGAACGAACAGAACAGGTAATCAAGTGATCCACCCCCTGTCGTCCATTCCCAGCTTCTGGCAAACAGAGACTAGGGACACCATCCCTGCCCATCCTGGCCAATAGCCATATGGTGTTGAACCACACCAATAATGTGATGCCTGACCGTTAATAGAGTTTGGGACATATTAGCAAATCTCTTTTTTGAATAAATTGAATGTTCCTCCTTGAAAGTCACTTAGATTGCAGTGCATGTTTGTGGAGTGGTTTATCTGTGTAGGAAGAAATGAACACGAATTAAAGTGCAATGCACTCCACATACAGAAAATCCCATTTATATTAATATTACTGCAGTCTGAAAGATGACAAATGTACCCTTTACAATGCTAATGGCCTGCATTAATTTGTTTATTTATAATAAAGAGCAAAATTTTGACCAGTTTTTCCTAAAAGACACAACAAATACTGAAAAAATTACAGAGAGGGATGTTTTAGAAAATACACTCTATGCACAGTTAAACTAGATAGTCAGATTTCACATGCTTTCAGCAAACTTTACTGAAACCTTCTTTAGTCTTTATCGTCTCCTGTGTTATGAAATGGAAACCACTGATTAAGAAAGTGCACTGACATGACTGAGTCTTGGTGACAGCATTAATCCCAAACAGTGCAAGTTTAGTTGTGTTGCTTTTTCTCTTTAAGGTAGTTGAAGAGCACATCCAGTCCTCCCTCTACAATCTCTGGCAGTGGTCTGAACAATGGGTTATGTGAAATATGGAGCCCTTTATCCATTGGATTCCAAGCAATTTTTGGCAATCTGTGCAGCAGATAGAGATCATGTGGAAGGGTCTGAATAGAATTGTAAGCTACATTTAGTAACTCAAGTGCAGTGATGGAGCAGAGAGACCGTGGCAAGGTGCGAATATTGTTATCTTCTACAATAAAGATCTGCAAATTTACCAGGTACTGGACACTTTCTGCAATGTTTTCAAGTCTGTTGGAGCCTAAGTGCAAGAAATCTAAACCCTTCAATGCAAAAACACATAAGGGGATGTGAACAAAACGATTGTTACTCAGATTCAGCTTCCTTAGGTTTGTCAAATCAGTGAAGCTTGAAGGGAGTTGTGAGATGCAATTGTGCGAAAGGCTCAAAACTTCCAGCTTTGTGCACAGACTGAGCTCTGCTGGCACTTCACTCAGGCAATTCATATCGACAAATAAAACCTTCAGGTTTCTGAGTAGCCCGGTCTCGTTAGGCAGACACTTGAGGCGATTGCCACACAAGTTCAGCACTGCTAATCTGTCTAGTTTCCCCAAAGCCGGAGAAAGAACCACCAGCTGGTTGTGTGAAAGGTTCAATTTCTGCACCTCTGACAAGCCCCACAAAAAATCAGGCACATTTGTCATCCCCTTCATGATGAGGCTCACACTGACATAACGCAATCCACGCTTCAGCAGTGACTTTGGATCTTTTCCTGAGATAAGAGCTTCTTCCCATGCAGGAAGTCTCTGACCTTTCCTCAGCAAAAACATTCTTCTCTGATGCTTGTCCTTCGAGTGTTCAGCTCCCATAACACTCCAGACTGCTGCTGCTTTTGAAAGAAGTGAGGTTTCCTTCCTTTCTGAAATCAGTAGTGAAGAGAGGATTGCAGCCTTTTGAAGACAGTAAAAAAAACCTCAAACCATAGAGATATGGAGAAGACTATGAAGATCACCTGCTTCTGGTTACCAAAACCAGCTTCTGCAGTTGCGGAAGGAAATTTTCACTTTTTTAGGATGGGTTTAAGTTGTTTTTCTTGGTGCTGCAGATTGTAATGAAAGACTTGCTCCCAACACAGCTGAACAGACCTGTTCAATTCAAATTGAATACCACAATGCAGCTGTCACTGTCATTTTGTCGAGGCTTTATTGGACAGATATTATCTTCATTGCAAAGAGGTCACTGAGATGCTGTATATAACTTTACTATGTCAGCTTTCTTGGATATCTGGTGCATGCAGGATAATTAACAAGAGTGACTTTAAAAAACAAACAAACAAACCAACCAAATAAAATAAACATAGAAGGGAAGGGGGGGAAAAACTCAACCAAATTCATTCAGATGAGAAGCAGTTATTTTAACTCCTACTGGCCTCATTAAACAGCTTAGAACCCTGTAGCAAATTTTATATTCCACAGAAGGGCTGGTGAAGAATCTTCACATCTTGTTTTCCTTTCTATTGTTTTTCTAAAATGAATTTAGTGCTTGTGAAAGTTACTGGCCTATTTCCCCTCTATGGTGATGACAGTCCTCTCTTTATCCACAGAAAGGGTACAGAATGCATAACAGAAGTGGAACTGCCCTTTAGGATATATCTTCACTACAGTTAGCCTGGGTGCATTACAGCTACTCACATCTGGGGTCAAACTCCTACCCAAGTTACTGTGCAGTCACTGGTGCTGCACGCATCCATGTGTGTCACTAGGACTTCTGGGGACATATCCCATGGTTCTTTTGTGCTTGAGTAAGCTGAGTCGCTCTGATTCTTTCCCAGAAGATTATGTGAGAACTTGTCTGTCTTTCTGAGCACACAGGAGGCATTGTGGGAAAGCATTGGAGGACATCAACACTTGAGTGATTTAGCCTGTGTGGATGGATTACCAGCCTGAGTGAAAGTGAAACCTGTCTCTAATCCAGCCATGCCAGGTAGCTCAGGTTGAAAGCACCCCTGAACTCAGGCGAGAGGCGCTGTGTGTGGACCGGAGTGGGGTTATGGACAACATCCAAGTAAGAGCCCGGATTAACCCTGGAGTGAAGACATACTCTAAGGCCTTGGGTACACTTACCTGCTAGTGCGGCGGCTGGCAATCGAACTTCTGGGTTCGACTTATCGCGTCTAGTCTGGACGCGATAAGTCGAACCCGGAAGTGCTCGCCGTCTACTGCGGTACTCCAGCTTGGCGAGAGGAGTACCGCGGAGTCGACAGGGGAGCCTGCCTGCCGAGTGTGGACCAAGGTAAGTTCAAACTAAGGTACTTCGAACTTCAGCTACGTTATTCACGTAGCTGAAGTTCCGTACCTTAGTTCGTATTAGGGGGTTAGTGTAGACCTGGCCTTAGTGTTGCAATAACGTGCTGAAGTTTGAACAGGATGGACCCCCTAGAAGGGGTGAGTGAGTGGTTCAGTTTCATTGCTCAGCCATTGTCCTTTCTACTGAGACTGCCAACGAGGATGCACATTGTGGTGCCCTGGTAGTGATTTTGTAATATGGAAACTTGTACACTAGGCACTAGACCGAAACTTCTCCATAATTCTACATGATCCACAGGTAACCATTTGGTAAGTAATAGTTTTCCCTCACTACTAATTGGGCCCAAATCAAATAGTTTGAACCAGCAACTCATAATTGCATACGCAAGTGGCATTTCCACCCAGCTCCAAAATAATCAAGAGACAGTGTGGGATCAAAACGCATCCCTTCCTGGAGCTTAGCTTCATTAAAAAACTAATACAAACCAAACACAAGTACTGTCCAAGCATCCCTCACAGGCCTAAGATTGCTCCACCCCATAGATTCTTTTGATCAGAGAGCCAACTCCTTCTCCTTTATCTCCAGTCTGTGGCACCTACCTGCCCAGGAAGCGTTCAGGGCTCAGTGAGCAGCTGCACACACAGGTCCACCATCACCTAACACAGTGGGTCAACAGAAGAACCTCACTGTCCTGTTACAATCCCATTATAATCCCTGTTCTACTTCATTCCCACGGTAACTCCTGCCATGATGTTGATGAACCTTTATTTACCATTCAGTCAGCAGCAGCGGGGATAAAAAGAATCCACCTCAGCAGATTCCATTGTCCAGCACTATTCCTGCTTCTGAATGTCATATAACCACTGCACACAATAATAATAATGATAATGATCTTTTTTCTTGTATTCGCCAACAGAACCATAGATAATTAAGTGCACTCTCACTGTCAGGGAGACAGGGAACTCATAGATAACTGAATTAAGCTCTTTTCTTGAGATCAGGATAAGAAAACACTGGCCACATCTGTATTATCCACAACTGAATTTCTAGTCAGAATTGTCTCCTGCCTGTTAATGTTTTTGTTCAAACATGATCCTGGTTCTCCTCTTCTGCATTATGGTTAAGTCAGTGCTTGAAAGGAGTAAGTATACGCCTCCTATTGGAGGGAAACTATTATGTCCTAGTCAAAAGATTTTGAGGAATTTCATATTGCCTTCTGGGATTAATAGAAGAAAGACCTGGTCAAATTTAACCCCTCTTTGCTTCAACACCCATTATCTGGTTAATGCATTATTCCATATAAACAGCAAGGATACTTTTACTTACATAGGATACTCGTATGGGGTGAAATTCTCCCCTCTTGAGAAGGCCAGCCCTAGGTCTATATCACTTATCACCTATTTACACCTCTTAAAATACACTTGAAATGACCTACAGGCCTTATGCTAGCCCTCTGCACAAGGATGAATGTCACCCATGAAAGTTGTGTATAAATAAAGTAGCAGGAATTAGCCCATAGTGAGTTATGGATTAAACAAAAATATCAACACATGAAGAAGAAATGTCCCAAAACTTGCTGGGTTTAAGAATCCTTATGATGTAAGAACATGCTAAAAAAAGGTGGATAAAGATCTCAGTAACTGGTGGGCAAATAAGAGCATACCAAGACAATCCCCGATCATGGGAATGTGTGACATAGTACGTAACTAGGATATGCTTGTTTATCCAATAAAAATAAGCAGTATTGTTAACCCTGAACACTCAAAAATTGTGAGACAGGTTCCCCAAAAATCCTGAGACTGACTTACAGGATAGGCTTGTTTTTAAATAAAAATAAATGCTGGGTTCTTTTTATTTGCCTTCTGTTTCAGAGCTGTTAGCATGCACTTGAGACGCATTCTCAAGCTTTTCTTGGAATCATTAGACCTAAAAACGTACTTAGTTTTCAAATGAAAGCTAGATTCTCACATAATCACTTGTCTGCAGGAGCCAGGGCTTTAAGTAAAACATTAAATAGCATGATAAAGACACATGATAAAACTATGAGAGTTTGAAACACAGAGTAAAGGCCAATGTTCTAAAGAAAATTTCAATACTATCCATTTTGTGCTAAAACCCTACTCCACCCCTGTAGTATTTTCATATTAAATTTTTTATGCCTTTCTCAGCCTACTTTGAAGCAAAGTCGACATTCTGTGTGAAGCCAAAAATTCACCCAGTTCCTTACAAATACATTAATAAGATAACCTGAAGTTCCGCTTGAGCCTTTGCCACAGGCTCAGTTGTTCCTAGGATTCCCACCTCATGAGTGTTCAGCCAACACTCTAGATCAGTGGTTCCCAAACTGGGGTTCATGAACCCCTGGGGGTTCACGAAATGTTACAGGGGGTTCTCGGGAAAAAATTCCCTAATGGCGGACAGAGCTGTCCCTAGGGACCCCGGCACTGGGCCAGCAGCCCGGAGCCCCTGGACTTCCAAGAGCTAAGCAGATCAAAGCAAGCATATCTATCACACTGAGGAGATTTAAACTTCAAGACTCCTTATAAGAAATGGAAAGGGAGGTGGATATTTTTTGCTTTTTAAAATGAAATAGGCAGCTAATATTGTTTTTAAAATTATTATGAAGAACAAGTTTAAGCTTTGTTGTAACGTGTGTTGTTTGCCTGGACTGCTCAAGACCTGAATGCTTGTGTAGGAGGAACTCTTTGAGTTGGCTTCTTAATATCTTCATGCTGTTTCACATCTGATACTCCTTGATGAAACATATGAGCCTTATAACAGGCTTATTCAAAGTGATACAAGCTACGAAAGTGAGATCTTGGAAAAGTGTTGCCGTTTTCATAATGTAATAAAAATACAGTAATGATAAATAATAATAAATAGTGTGTAATAAGCATGTCATAAAAACAAATTTTATATTTCCAAGATCACTGCTTTTATAATTTATACTCAGGTAAAGGAGAAAATCCCTGGAAATATTCATTTTTAGGAGGGGGTTCGCGAGACTTGACATTTTAGTGAAAGGGGTTCACAGGCTGTACAAGTTTGGGAACCACTGCTCTAGATCCTCTGTTTCTAGAGATCCACTCTCACCTTCCTTCATTATCTTATCTCAATAAATCAGGATTAAACAGGTTCTGCTTTCTCTACCAGATGGAATGTTTCAGGTAAACATTGCCTGCTCATTACAGGTCCACTAAGAATGCTGAACCATGGGAATGCTTATGCTAGCAATGATTGTTAATAGGAAAGTGTCCATAATAAACACAGTAGCAACCACTGACTCACTGTACTCCTGTTTTCCATTTCGCTAAATAATTTTTTTTAAAACCACAACACAATTATTACAGCCAAGGCTATCCTCAAATCTTAGATCCCTAAAATGGAATTATAGCCACCTACAAGTTCTGTGACTTCTTTACAGTGGTTTGTCAATATTATAGCTATTCAGAATGTCCAGTCGCATTTCAAAGGCAATTTGCGATTTATGAGAGGTGACACAAAAAAAAGAACAACTTTGAAGGCAATTTCAGATTTCCTGTTAATTTGTTTTTAATTGTGGTGCTGCTGAGATCCTTTATCACCCGTATATCTATGGATCTCTGCTGGAATGTTTTACTAAGATCCCATGGGAAGTTGGCTGCTCCCCTGACACATGGAGAATGGAACTGGAGGTGAATGAGTTCCCTTGTAGGGACTCATTTAACAAGAGCTTTGGTAGACAACCCAAGTCTTTCGCTGCCATAACAGAAGTTAAGCTCAGACTATCCAGGACATATGTACTACAGAATAAATCCAAATGAGTTTCTGTAT